GTGTCCAGTGTGAGTTCACAGAGATCTGATGGAGAGAACGAGACACAACAAGCAGCAGTTTATCATCAGACATATCTGAAGGTTTATTCTTTGTTTGTGTGCTGATGTTGTTCATTCTATAAATTTAATGATGATGCATTTAGTCAGTAATGTTTGAATGAATAAATTCACAACTATCACTTGTAATTAAGAGAAACTGACTGTGGCTGTTTTGTCCATGCAGTCAGATTAATCCACACTTACACTTCCTCAGACCAGGTTTTAACCTCTGCTCTCCACCATGGTCCACCCTGGAGGAAGAACACAGTCAGAGTGATTTTCTATCCAACATGAGTCCTAACTGCTGTTCAACATGAAGCAGTGTTCCTCAGTTTGTCAGTGTGACAGGAAACAGGCGAAACTCATCTGTGTCAACTGTCTCCAGGATTCTTTCACTGTCTGAGAAAAGGACCTGAAGAAGAAGACAACTAATATGAGAGCAGGATGTCAAATATTGTCCTCTGCATGTTGTCCCGCTAAATAAACAGTTTGACCAGCATTCACACATGAACAACTAAACTGTTTCCAGACTGTTCTCAGATCAGATTCAACTTGTATTGAGTAATTTCTGTCAGAAACAGAGGGTCTGAGGACAGAGAGGCCACATGATGTACAGATTGTAAAGCTTTGAGACAAGTTTGTGATTAGCACAAAACTGACTTGGGAATTTCATATCAATAAAGGACTGTATTTCACAGAGACAGATGAGGCTAAATGATGAAGTTAACAGAGAATAAAGGCACCGAGAAGGTGTTTCTCTCAGCAGCAAATAATTATATGCATCTAAATGTGCGCATTTGTTTTTGTAGTGGACCTAAATTTATTAGTTATTCATTTTAATAAATTTATGAGAATTGATACCCAATTATGAATTTTGATTCATAAAATCTAAATTTCCTCGTTAAGGGCACCACCGGAGTTGTTATAATCCTAGAGTCTCCGGACCTCTAGGTAGTTTGAATAATTATACAATTATTACTAGTGATCAGTTAGTTAATAATCGCTCAATTATCTTAAATCAGTCAGTCAGTCTCATATCTAAAGGGTCAATTCTCTTGGCAGGAACTATAAATAGGCAACACACACAGCTCTTGATTATATTACAGTGAATTTATTCTCTAACTAAGGTGATAAAAAGATGGTTGGATACAGGGAACAAACATTTGCTGAACAATGAGCCTGGAGGTTCGATTGTGGGAAGCATTTGACTAATACGGCATAGAAGAAGCTAATGAAAGTAAACTAATGCTATAGTTTAGGAGTTAAAATGGACATCTGATCACAGAACGTGTGTTAAGTCTTACTGCTTGTCGACAGCCTGCTTTTGGCCTGTTGCACGGGTCCCACGCTAGCTGCCGATCCTGGCTTTTTGCTAGGGATTCTCCAGGGTTCTCCGTGTCTGATTGAAAACGCCTCCTCCGTCTGGCAATTCGGCTGTTTCAGGTTTCCTTCGTTGCAGTTGGCGAGACCACGTGGCTTGGTCTGACCTCGGTGAAGTTGGCTTCGACGAAAAAGGCTTAAAATGGAACTTGGTCGTTCCTGAATTAGTCCAGTGTAACTTAACGGACTCATAACTTTAACAAACAAAAGAAATAAAGAAAATAAAACAAACTGAAGGCAGATCGATGTCGCGGCACTTCAGGTGTGTAGCTTCAGGCGAACAAAGGCCTGTTTGTTTCGCTGGCCGAGTCTGGGCGTGTTGCCTGGCGAGGCACGCTGCTCGTGCCGAAGCATCCAGAGCGAGAGAAGGGAAGAGACTAGCGAGCAGGTCGCGTGTCGCTCTTTTGTTGCCTGGGGCGTGGTTCCCCGGGGGCGTCTCAGGTTTCCCCAGGACTGCCTTTCAAAACTTAACATCTAAAGAAAAGAAATCTATTTGCACGTATTATAATCAAATATTTTCCACAATCGAACCTCAATGGTTGAACGGTTGTACTGTTCTAGGCATTTGGTAACAGGAAACAATTGTCACATATTGGTCAGTATTTTTACACATTTAACGCATTTCCGACGAGGGCATGTAATACTTATTTCGTCCACTTGGGGGAGCTCAGGTTACATGAGGAAAGCTTGGATTAAATCAAAGATCGTCTCTCCTTAGGAACCGGGGAATTTGTTGATTCATCCTTAAATTCAAGCTGGCGATTAAGAGTATAGTAAAACATTTCTTTGTCATCATTTCTAAAGGGATTTGTAAGAAAGTATTATGAACAAGCATTGATTACATTAGATGGAGTGTAGTGCTGAAAATAAAAACACTGCACAAGTAACTTCTTTTCAGCACTAATATCAACAACAGATAGCAACAACAGTTAACATAACTACTCAAATAGAGGCAAACATATCAGGTAACTAAAGATTTAATTAAACTTAATTAGATGCTTTGAGTCTTTTGGAGATTGCAGTCCTTTTACATTGAAAGTTCAGTGTCTGGAACATGTCACACTTAGGTGAGACAAGGAGTATCCCTTTGATGTGGTAATAAAACAAAGAATAAGGTCAGTTTCCACGGAAACGTGTGTGGTGGGGCCAGTTTTGATAGGCTGTTCAGGGAGATGCCAATGGCTGGCTCGTGTCCCTTTGTCAGTTTAACAGTCAGGCCCCGCGTTATCAGCTTCGGAATCAAAAAGGTGCCAGTTTTGGTCGGGATAGCACTTAGAGAAAGCAACTTTGACCCCTCCCCTTCTTCTCTGGGGAGGAGAAAGGAATTTAAGGTAGCTCCACATTCATTCAATATAAAATGCACAAATCCACATCGTTGTTCACTACATTTTGCTTTAGATCAGGGGTATTCAATTAGATTTCAAAGAGGTCTAGTTAGAGAAAATTTCCTGAAGCAAAGGTCCGGAACATCAAAACGACGAACTTGCGTTATCATTCAGTACTATAACCTATAGTTGTATCAACACATGTTTTAGTCAACAACTGACTGTCAAATCAAATAATATTTCAGTCAGTTTTCACATCAAACTGGAGGGATAATAAATAATAACTATTCAAATAATAAATTCTAAATTTAAGTAAACTAAAGTGCCTAATTTTTAGAAAAAATGTAATAAAAAGTGTAGCTTGAAGTGATGAAGTGTAGTCTTAACCAATTTTATAATAAACACACAAATGAACAGCTGTAATGCCTCCTCTTCTCTTTCATTTCCTCTTACAGAGCTACCACTTTCCTACTTTCTGTTGTTCAGTGAGAAACGTGAGCTCCAGCTCGCATATTGGAGATCTATGAGATATTCTGGTTTTGAACTGCCCGTGGGAGGAATGTACATGTAAAAATCAGTACATTCTTGATTAAAAGTCATGTGAAATCTCTTTTATCTTTCGTCTCCTCAATTCGTGTGTTTCCAAAACGTCTCTGGTGAATCTCGCGGACTCGACTCGCAAGCATCGGTATGCACAGATTTGATTGGCTGAGCAGCGTCACATGAGACGATTGGAGCACATGCGATTGGTCTGTGAGTTTCCTGGTCCTCTAAACCAGTACAGTAAATGCTAGAAAAGCTGCGCGGGTTAAAATAGAAACGCTCCGTCACGAGGTAGTAAGTCTCAATAATAAATGGGCTGTAGGTCGGCGGTCCGCCTATTAGTGACCTCTGCTTTAAATATTTAACAATTGTATTTATAATTAACAAAACACTAGTGTTTACAGTGTTGGACAAACCACTTGGAAAATGTAGTGAGCCAAGCTACCAGTTAACTCTACATTAAATTAAGCTTCACTACACTGAAGCTACAACCAGGAGAAACGTAGCAAGCTCAGCTACAGCAACATGGCAAAAGTCCTTTACTACATCTGAGCTACTTTTATTTATATTGAACCAACTTCATTCTAGAGTAGCAAAAGAATAAAGACCTGCTCCAAACAGTAACAACGTGAGAGATTTTAAATCAGACAAACGCCCAAATATTACAACAAAATGTATTTCCTCACAAACTGAGAACCATTTGGAAAAACATTGTTACTTTAATAGATGTGCTGCTTGTCAAAAAAGCATGACATTTTCAATGTATGATTTATTTTGATAGATACACAAAAAAGTATTGTCAGCCACTGATTGTGCAAGTTCTCCTATTTAGAAAGATGAGGTCTGTTTTGTCATAGGTACACTTCAACTATGACACACAAAATGAGGAGAGAAAAAAAAAAAATCCAGGAAATCACATTGTAGGATTTTTAAAGAATTTATTTGTAAATTATGGTGGAATATAAGTATTTGGTCAGTACTCAAGGTCAACGTTTCCTGTAAGTCTTCAGCAGGTTTGCACACTGTAGCTGGTATTTTGGCCCATTCCTCCCTGCAGATCTCCTCTAGAGCAGTGATGTTTTGGGGCTGTCGCTGGGCAACACGGACTTTCAACTCCCTCCACAGCTTTTCTATGGGGTTGAGGTCTGGAGACTGGCTAGGCCACTCCAGGACCTTGAAATGCTTTTTAACGGAGCCCGAGCGGCGTGTTTGGGATCATTGTCATGCTGGAAGACCCAGCCACGTTCCATCTTCAACGCTCTCACTGATGGGAGGAGGATTTGGCTTAAAATCTCACGATACATGGCCCCGTTCATTCTTCCCTTAACACGGATCAGTTTTCCTGTCCCCTTTGCAGAAAAACAGCCCCAAAGCATGAGGTTTCCTCCCCCATGCTTCACAGTAGGTATGGTGATGCAACTCTGCATTCTTCTTCCTCCAAAGTTGAGTTTTTACCAAAAAGCTCTATTTTGGTTTCATCTGACCACATGATATTCTCCCAATCCTCTTCTGGATCATCCATATGCTCTCTGGCAAACTTCAGACGGGTCTGGACATGTACAGGGGGGGGGACACGCCTGGCGTCCCTCTCGGCGTAGTGTGTTACTGATGGTAGCCTTTGTTACTTTGGTCCCAGCTCTCTGCAGGTCATTCATCAGGTCCCTCCGTGTAGTTCTGGGATTTTTGCTCACCGTTCTCATGATCATTTTGACCCACGGGATGAGATCTTGCGTGGAGCCCCAGATCGAGGGAGATTATCAATGGTCTTGTACTTCTTCCATTTTCTTACAATTGCTCCCACAGTTGTTTCTTCACACCAACCTGCTTGCCTCTTGTAGATTCACTCTTCCCAGCCTGGTGCAGGTCTACAATTTTCTTCCTGGTGTCCTTCGACAGCTCTTTGGTCTTGGCCATGGTTGAGTTTGGAGTCTGACTGTTTGAGGCTGTGGACACGTGTCTTTTATACAGATAACGAGTTCAAACAGGTGCCATTAATAAAGGTAACGAGTGGAGGACAGAAGAGCTTCTTAAAGAAGAAGTTACAGGTCTGTGGGAGCCAGAAATCTTGCTTGTTTGTGGTGACCAAATACTTATTTTCCACCATAATTTACTAATAAATTCATTAAAAATTCTACAGTGTGATTTCCTGGATTTTTCTTTCTCATTTTGTCTCTCATAGTTGAAGTGTACCTATGATGAAAATTACAGACCTCTCTCATCTTTCTAAGTAGGAGAACTTGCACAATCAGTGGCTGACTAAATACTTTTTGGCCCCACTGTATATATATATTATTGTTAACATTTGACTTTCTGCTTTCATTTATTCATTTAGCTGACGCTTTCATCCAAAGAGACTTACAATTGCTATACATGTCAGAGGTTGACGCCTCTGTAGCAACGAAGGGTTAAGTGTCTTGCTCTACATATCAAAGTTTCCTCCTCACTAGAGGAAGAGGTGGTCAGACTGGACCCTGATCCTTTTCACAAGAGCTTTTTGTTCAGGCGACACAATAGAAAGTAAACTCAGTCTCTCGTGTCTTTATTCCCCTGCAGCAAAGTCACAAGGATTTGATGTACGTGATGTGACCGTCATACGAAAGTGCTTTTGTTGGCTACACATACAGGTCTGTGTATGGCAAATCCATTTTCCAGCATATTGATAAGACTCAAGACATTTACAGAAGAGTTTATCAAGATATTGTTTTTCATGGATTATTTATATTTACAGATAAAATGCCACATGAAATAAGGATGATAAGATATTTTAAAAAACCTGTGTGTAAAATGATGATGCTCTAACTGCTTTAAAGGGCGAGGAATATGACTTGATTTGGACTAGCTAACGTTGTGCTGTAGAAAACTTTCAAATGATATATGATTCAATATGGAGAGTTCTCGAAAGACCGGTCAAACTTTTAGTTGGAAAGTGCTAACAAAGATGAGATTTACGCAATCTAAAGATCACAAACTTGGTGTAAAATAGACAAAACATAATGTTTAGAAATATAAATTATATATATATATATACATATACACTGCTCAAAAAAATAAAGGGGACACTTAAACAACACAATGTAACTCCAAGTCAATCACACAACCCACACAAGTGGCTCAGGTAGTGCAGCTCATCCAGGATGGCACATCAATGCGAGCTGTGGCAAGAAGGTTTGCTGTGTCTGTCAGCGTAGTGTCCAGAGCGTGGAGGCGCTACCAGGAGACAGGCCAGTACATCAGGAGACGTGGAGGAGGCCGTAGGAGGACAACCCAGCAGCAGGACCGCTACCTCCGCCTTTGTGCAAGGAGGAGCAGGAGGAGCACTGCCAGAGCCCTGCAAAATGACCTCCAGCAGGCCACAAATGTGCATGTGTCTGCTCAAACGGTCAGAAACAGACTCCATGAGGGTGGTACGAGGGCCCGACGTCCACAGGTGGGGGTTGTGCTTACAGCCCAACACCGTGCAGGACGTTTGGCATTTGCCAGAGAACACCAAGATTGGAAAATTCGCCACTGGCGCCCTGTGCTCTTCAGATGAAAGCAGGTTCACACTGAGCACATGTGACAGATGTGACAGAGTCTGGAGACGCCGTGGAGAACGTTCTGCTGCCTGCAACATCCTCCAGCATGACCGCTTTGGCGGTGGGTCAGTAATGGTGTGGGGTGGCATTTCTTTGGGGGGCCGCACAGCCCTCCATGTGCTCGCCAGAGGTAGCCTGACTGCCATTAGGTACCGAGATGAGATCCTCAGACCCCTTGTGAGACCATATGCTGGTGCGGTTGGCCCTGGGTTCCTCCTAATGCAAGACAATGCTAGACCTCATGTGGCTGGAGTGTGTCAGCAGTTCCTGCAAGAGGAAGGCATTGATGCTATGGACCGGCCCGCCCGTTCCCCAGACCTGAATCCAACTGAGCACATCTGGGACATCATGTCTCGCTCCATCCACCAACGCCACGTTGCACCACAGACTGTCCAGGAGTTGGCGGATGCTTTAGTCCAGGTCTGGGAGGAGATCCCTCAGGAGACCATCCGCCACCTCATCAGGAGCCCAGGCGTTGTAGGGAGGTCATACAGGCACGTGGAGGCCACACACACTACTGAGCCTCATTTTGACTTGTTTTGAGGACATTACATCAAAGTTGGATCGGCCTGTAGTTTGGTTTTCCACTTTGATTTTGAGTGGGACTCCAAATCCAGACCTCCATGGGTTGATAGATTTGTGTGATTTTGTTGTCAGCACATTCAACTATGTAAAGAAAGGAGTATTTAATGAGATTATTTCATTCAGATCTAGGATGTGTTATTTTAGTGTTCCCTTAATTTTTTTTGAGCAGTGTATTAGATAGATATGTGTGTGTAAGAAACATCCTCTATCCCAGAAGAAACCTAAATTACTATGTAGCCTAGAGGACTCAAGTTATTTATGATAATACGGCTGTGTGGTGAACCTATGAACTGAAGTCATATTTAAACAACTATTGCTTTGTGTTATATATAAAATAGTAGTAAGACTTCTCTCTGTGTACACGCATCCTATAGGCCTACAAGTACAATTTTGGCTGTATTTTTGTGTCCCCCTCAAAAATTGCTCTCGTGAAATTTTATGTTTACTTCCCCCCCCTACTGTGAGATGAAACTTACGCCCATGCATAGCGCCCAGAGAACCTGATGTGGAGAGGGCAGAGGAGAGGACCGGCAACTTGAAAAAGTCCCAGTACACCAAATGTTTGCGGGTCGCGGTCTCAGACCTGTTCAGTCAAATCTATACTGCGCACCATAGTGGTTGATGGTGGAGAAGTGGAACCATCCTGTCAGTCATGCGGTGCGCAGCGTAACATTAGTTCATTAGGAAAGTATGTTCATTTAAGTCTGTTTATCTTTTAATGTGAATAATAACAATATAACAATAAAAATACATTGTGTGATTCAAAATAATGGTTGTTGAAGAATGAATTAGTGACCGCAACAGATGCTGATTTTACTGCTTCCATGGGAGCTCAGACCTCCTTATGGGAGCTGAGCTCCCACTGGCTCCCACGTAACTCCAACCCTGTTTAAAGTGCTCTATAAACTAAATTGATTGATATATTGATGAAAGTTCTCCGGCAGAGCGCTTTTTTAAATGCAGCAAAATCATAATTTTGGACTGTGGTGTCTACACGTCGAATCTAAGCTGTAACCTGACCTGCACCTCCCCAAAAATACAACAACATGTCGCGGCGATGCAGAACTGTACCTTCTGTGAGACTCATACAGAAACGGCATTACATATGTTTTGTCAGGATGTACAGTATGTACATTTATTAATGATTAGATATATTCAGGTTTCTGCTGGTTCTGGCAGAATATCTTTTTTAGTGTAACACTGCAACCATTATTTCTTAATCAATTTATGTTGTTTCTGGCTAAATTTCATAAACACAAATGCAAATTTACAAACAAAAACCCCATTTATAGTCTTTGAGAAAGAAACTTTATTTTTGAACAATCTGTTTCTCCTCCAACAGAAAGGCTTTGAAGATAGGCTACTTAATGTCTGTACTCGCTTAAAGGTCTGTGATATCCTTCAACCAAGTCCAGTTGCCCTTGACTTTAACCTTCTGAGAACCTTCACAGATATCTGTGATATCCTTATTTATTTTCGCTGTATTGTTCTGTTATTGTACCCCCTAGCTATAAATACATCGGTATCCCTAATGTGAAGTATCCATTGCAATGTTAAGATTGGTGATATATGTTGCTATTTGATATTATTAAAAAGGAAGAAAAAAAGACAGACAGCAAGCTCAGATTAGGGGGGTGACGACACACTTTGCCCATGAGATGTGACATTGCACAAGATTGGGGTCACAAGAACAAGACAAGAATATATTTGAATACTATTTTGAGCATTAAACACTTAATTTCCTGCATTCTGGGGATATTTTCTGCACCAATTTATGGTGGAATGTCTTTATTTATGTAAAGGGAAGCACAAATTCAGTTGGCAAGTGATGATTCAGAATATAAAAATGTAATAGAATAATGCAGTAATCTGTAGCTTTTTTTTAGCTTAAGTTATTTTTTTGGACAACACAGATGTTTCTTCTATGTTTTTATTGCATTGCTGGTTTTCAGAATAGTGCAAATAAACCTTTCTCAAAGCATTTTCATTTGTTAATTAACATTTCTTAACATTAACATTTTTAACAAATGCTTTCAAAAAGTGATGTGGACAACATCTGCCATTTCAAAAAGTGGTGGGGACATGTCCCCAGCGTCCCCAGTGTAAATGACACTATGACCCTCCCTCCCTGCTCCCTCCCTACAGGCTGAGCTACTCCATGCTTACCGCTTCACCTCCACTCTCCTCCTGCTAACATATCGGTTATTTTGCGCATTTGGTGGCATCCATCTGAAGAATTTTTTATTTTTTTTGGCCCACAACTCAAGAAACAGAAGGCAGAGGAGGGGGGGTTTGTAAGAGATGTGATTGGGCCAGCCCAATGTCAGTATAGAAAATTACCCAATGTGCTGCGGTACATGCTTTATGGGCCGACCATTGGCCCATTTTTTAAAACAGTTGAATAAATAAGTAATTTATGTTACACTGGCCCCAAAGTTTCGTTGGCCACAAGGCATTTACCTGGTATGCCAGATTACCAGTCCACCCCTGATTCTATCCATAGAGAAATGCTGCAAGCAGGTCTCACATTAGAATGACTTTACATCCAAGTTTCTGATGTTTCTAATGGTTTCCAATCGATAAGACTTCTGGAGAGCCTTTTCCTATCTCAGGCCTACTCACTGCTCTGAACAGAATGAGGAGGAATAAGAAGTCCTTCATGATGATGGACTCCAGTAGACTGACATAAAATAACAGAAACAGACATCTGCAGTGTGTGAGCTCTTGCTGTCTGTCCAAACCTGAGAGTGTCCAGTCTCCAGTGTGGCTCCTCCAATCCAGCAGACAGCAGCTTCACCCCTGACTCTCCTGGATGATTGTAGCTCAGGTCCAGCTCTCTCAGATGGGAGGGGTTGGAGCTCAGAGCTGAGGCCAGAGAAGCACAGCCTTCCTCTGTGATCAGACAGCCTGACAGCCTGGAATCAGGAAAACATCATAAACTCTGTGTTTTAGAAAATCATGCAGCAGGAAAATCTACAGACCATTTTCACTAACATGAACCTAAAATCAGATGAAGAGGATTTAAACGAAACAGCTTATTACTGACCTGAGAGTTTCCAGTGTACAGTGTGGACTCTGGAGTCCAGCAGACAGCAGCTTCACTCCTGAATCCTGCAGGTTGTTGTTACTCAGGTCCAGCTCTCTCAGACTAGAGGACTGGGAGCTGAGAACTGAGGACAGAGCTTACAGATTCTCTCTGAGAGGTTACAGCCACTCAACCTGAAAAAGGATTAGCAATGAACACAAACTAAATGTTTTTTTGTCAAATATAAATTAAGCGTTTTTGAAATTACATCCACCTACAGAGCTTTGTTGGAGGCTTTGACCACTGGCAGCAGCCTCAGAAGAGCCTCCTCTGAAGCAGAGTATTTCTTCAGGTCAAACACGTCCAGATCTTTTTCAGATGACAGTAAGATGAAGCCAGAGCTGACCACTGAGCAGGAGAGAGTTTATCTGTGGAGAGACTTCCTGAACTCAGGGACTGTTGGATCTCTCCACTAGAGAACGATCATTCAGTTCATTCAGACAGTGGAACAGATTGATGCTTCTCTCTGGAGACAGATTCTCACTGATCTTCTTCTTGATGTACTCAACTGTTTCCTGATTGGTCTGTGAGCTACTTCCTGTCTGTGTCAGCAGACCTCGTAGGAGAGTCTGATTGGTCTGCAGTGAAAGACCCAGGAGGAAGCGGAGGAACAAGTCCAGGTGTCCATTTGGACTCTGTAAGGCCTTGTCCACAGCACTCTGGTAGAGATGTGTTAGTTCAGGTTTGTCTCTGAAGACTTTAGACAGCCGGAGGTTGATTGTTTTTCTGCCAGCAGATTGACACCAGAGTTGATGAAGGTCAGATGGACATGAAGAGCAGCCAGAAACTCCTGAACGCTCAGATGGACAAGCAGAAGACCTTGTCCTGGTACAGCCCTCTCTCCTCTTTAAAGATCTGTGTGAACACTCCTGAGTACACTGAGGCTGCTCTGATATCGATGCCACACTCTGTCAGGTCTGATTCATAGAAGATCAGGTTTCCTTTCTGCAGCTGCTCAAAAGCCAGTTTTCCCAGAGACTCAATCATCTTCCTGCTCTTTTATTCCAGTGGATCTGTCTCAGCTCCTCCATCATACTTGACTTTCTTCAGTTTGGACTGAACCACCAGGAAGTGGATGTACATCTCAGTCAGGGTCTTGGGCAGCTCTCCTCCCTCTCTGGTCTTCAACACCTCCTCCAGAACTGTAGCAGTGATCCAGCAGAAGACTGGGATGTGGCACATGATGTGGAGGCTTCGTGATGTCTTGATGTGGGAGATGATTCTGCTGGCCTGCTCCTCATCTCTGAACCTCTTCCTGAAGTACTCCTCCTTCTGTGGGGCAGTGAACCCTCTGACCTCTGTCACCATGTCAACACACTCAGGAGGGATCTGATTGGCTGCTGCAGGTCGTGTGGTTATCCAGAGGCGAGCAGAGGGAAGCAGGTTCCCCCTGATGAGGTTTGTCAGCAGCACATCCACTGAGGTGGACTCTGTAACATCAGTCAGGACCTCATTGTTGTGGAAGTCCAGAGGAAGTCGACACTCATCCAGACCGTCAAAGATGAACACAACCTGGAACTCTTCAAAGCTGCAGATTCCTGCTTCTTTGGTTTCAGCAAAGAAGTGATGAACAAGTTCCACCAAGCTGTACTTTTTCTCTTTCAGCACATTCAGCTCTCTGAAAGTGAATGGAAATGTGAACTGTATGTCCTGGTTGGCTTTGTCTTCAGCCCAGTCCAGAGTGAACTTCTGTGTTAAGACTGTTTTCCCAATGCCAGCCACTCCCTTTGTCATCACTGTTCTGATTGGTTCATCTCTTCCAGGTGAGGCTTTAAAGATGTCTTCTTGTCTGATGGTTGTTTCTGGTCTGTCTGGTTTCCTGGATGCTGTTTCAATCTGTCTGACCTCATGTTCATCATTGACCTCTGCAGTCCCTCCCTCTGTGATGTAGAGCTCTGTGTAGATCTGGTTCAGAAGGGTTGGGTTTCCTGCTTTAGCAATCCCCTCAAACACACACTGGAACTTCTTCTTCAGGTTACACTTGAGTTTACGTCGGCACACTGCAGCAACAGTTCCTGAATGAAGAAGAAATATGATTAAGTGGATGCTGCAGTAAATCTGATAAATGTAAACTTTAAGACATCAAGATGGTATTTATTTTTTTTTTCCTCCATGAAATCTCTCCGGCTCATCAGCTGTGAACAGTTTCTGAGTTTCAGCCCAGAAGAATTCATAGATCTGATCCAAATGTGTGCATCATATTAACAGCAGAGTTTGAAATGGAAACTTCTCCCATGTTGCCTCCATTTCCTCTTTCCATCATGTTAAATCTGTTCAAATCCTCTTACTGCTCTGCAGACGCTCAGCCAGCTCCTCCTGCTTCATTCTCCTCAGGAAGTGCAGTGTGATCTTCAGAAATGCCTCTCTGCTGCTCCTCCTCTGCTCCTCCTCCTCATCCTCCCTCTGACTCTCTAAGCATTCTGGGTAATCTGGACTCAGAACTCTCTGGAACTTCTTCACCTTCTTCACAAACCTGCCAATGTTTTCCTGGAGCAGCTGGAACAGAAGAAAATGTAAAGTTGAACTGGTAGAAGTCAACATCAGATCATCTGTGACAGACAGAAAGCCTGCTGGTCTGCAGAGTGCAGCATGGAGACTGGATCAGAATGCTGCTTCACTATTTACTTTGTGGCTCCTGTAATTAGCAGTAGTAGCTGAGCTTGTACATTTACACACCATAAATATGGAGTCCAGGTCTGTTTGATGCTGCTGGGCAGACTGACCACTGGGAACCTCTGAGCTCTGCTCATCAACTCTGTGAAGAAATATGATGATTTGAACATATAATGACAAACAGTGTTACATGTGCTGTGTTATATCTGGTAGAAACAGATCCTCATACACCTATACCAGATCTTGGTATAAAAATGTATGATCTGGTCACTTTCCATGGAAACACCGCTGGGTGCAGGGTAGACTGGACAGGAGAAAATGCTGCTGTTTTACTCATCCAGCTGTGTCTCAGTGGACATCAGCGGACGAGGAGGCTGCTGAGGTCCTACTGGACTCTAACTGGACTTACAGTTACAGTAAGCAGCAGACAAAAGGGCATGCTCATACTTTTAATATTTTTACTTTCTCATGTGTTTGCCATTTGTTTTGCACTGTTCTTTGAACCTGGTTCATTTCTGTGCTGCTGATGTGACATGAGAATTTCCCTCTGGGAATAAATAAAGAGTCTATTATTATTTGTAATTAACAAAAAACAGTGCTGAACCAAGACCTACCTGAGAGCTCTTTTTAGGAGAGTCAACAAAACAACACAAACATTTAAGATTCTTACTTTTGTTCAGCATCATTATGTCCAGCTTTGAAGTGAACAGGGACATGACGGTCGCTGTTCACGGACACACAGCTGGGTCCAGGAGAATCTGGTCTCTGCCGATGGATCCTGAACAATGAAATAACAAATCAGATGTGTCCTCAAAGCAGATTTAATAGATATATTTATGTGTTGGTGTCTCTGGTAGTGAGTTTTCAGCTGAATCTGCAGTTTCTCAGCGTACAGAGTTTTATAGCGACTTTCAGTTGTTGTTTATCTGTCCAGCTGCATCTTTACTGTTAGTAGCTCAAAACTAAACTTCATTCACCTCCATTGAGCAAGAGGAGGCTCCATAGACAATGTTCTTATACATTCTCAAACCTGCATCCAGCTGTTCGTGGATTTTAAATGTGGTTTTGATATTTGGACTAAGATCTGCAAAATGTGAGACCAGTTTGAAAAAAGTGAAGAGTTAAGAACATGAAGTGATCAAAACAAAGACACCAAACCTCATCTCAGGAGAGACACAAACATTTAACATGCTGACCTTTGATCAGCAGAGTGGTGTCCACCTTTGAAGTTAATAGATCTGTCCATAGACCAGTCACTCTTGATGGACACACAGCTGGGTCCAGGTCCAGGTCCAGGTCCAGCAGAGTCTGGTCCCTGCTGCTGCTCTGGGCTTCAACACAACACACACAGAGCTTTGAGAGTGAATAATGATGGTGGAGTGATTTGAGTCCTGGACAGTTAGAGATCCTCATCTCACCTCTGAGCTTTGGTCTGGCTGTCATGTTCCCCACACAGAGTGCTTTTAGAGGGAGGGACTCCCTCCTCTCTGTCCTCACACTGATTCATAGCAGAGCCCACACCTTCACACAAACACAACAACATGCTGAGAGAGCTGCACTCATTCATTACAACAAGCTTTACATCTCAGGACACTTTAGTTCTCCTCAAGGTCTGTGTCTTTAAATCTTTATTTCTGTCTTTAAATGTTTAAATCATGACCAGAGAGACACAGGATGGCTGATTTTACTTTGGTCCTTCTCTATTCCTGTGAGGGCCCCTGATGGCTGAGGGGCCCTAATCAACCTCTAAGTTCCCCTCCACCCTGGGCTGGCTCTGGTCCATCTAGAAAGGATCCTGGAGCCTCTGGTACAGCTGAGACCTGGGGCCTCATGTATAAACGCTGCCTACGTATAAAAAGGTTACGTACGCTGGTTTTCACGCACACGTGGGATGTATAAAAATGAACGTGATGTGAGAATGTGAAGTCCCTCCACAAACTTTTGTCTGGCTGTCAGTAAACTGCTAAAGTGCCAAAACTCACCAAATGTTTCAAAATAGTGTTTCCACTGCAATTACTGTGCAGATGTCAATGGAGTAGTCTATCAAAATCCTAATTATGTCTTTTGACAAAGGTTTGATCATGTATGTAGTGGTTTA